ATTCATATTTCCATAATTTATAGTATTCCTATATGACTATACCCATAAGTGTTATTTACTCCATAGACTCTTATGTTAGACATATGGGGTTTTATCCAGGTTTTTTTTTTTGCATTTTGAATAATTTGTAATCTTTGCTTTAAGTAGAAAGTTTAGTCCATTTACATTTATTATAATACGATTATTTGGATATATTCTTCTTTTCTTCAGTGAGATAGGGTATCACTTGATCCATGTGCCTTAGCCTCCAGGTAGCTGGGATTAACAGGTCACAACCCACTGGTCCCTGCTTGGATATATTTCGTATCATCATAACATGTTCGTATCTATTTGTCCCCAACGCCCCTTTGTTTTTTTTAAGACAGAGTCTCGATTTGTTGGCGCCGAGCAAGTGCCATGGCATCAGCTAGCTTACAGCTGAACCTCAAACTCTGGGCTAAGAGATCCTCCTCTGCCTCAGCCTCCTGAATGGCCAGAATACAAGCACCCAGCCACTGCCCTGGCTAATTTTCTTAATTTTAGTAGAGATGGTGGTTTCCCTCTAGTTCAAGCTGGTCTCCAACTCCTGAGGTCAAGCGGATCCTCCCACGTCGGCTTCCAGAGTGCTAGTATTACAGCATGAGCCACTGTACAGATACCTTAAATTCATTTCTTTCTATGTGAAGTGCATCCTTTAGAATTTTTTTTAAGTGAGGTTTAGTGATAAACTCATTTTATTGTCTAAATGCTTTTCTACTCTTATATATTTTTTAAGAGACAGGGTCTTGCTCTATTGCCGCAAGCTTGGAGGTGGAGTGCAGTGGCATGATCATAGCTTACTGTAACCTTGAACTTTGGGCTCAAGTGATCCTCTTGGCACAGCCTCCAGAGTAGCTAGGACTAAAGGTGTGCCTGGCTAATTTATAATTTTTTTAGAGATGGGGTTTGCTGTGTTGCCCAGGCTGGTCTCAACTCCTAGACTCAAGCAATCCTCTCACCTCAGCCTCCCAAAGTGCTGGGATTGCAGGCATGAGCACCATACCTGGCCCCCTTTTAACTATTTTTTTAGAGATGGGTCTCACTCTGTCACCAGCGTAGTGCAGGGTGTATCATAGCTTACTGGCAGCCTTGTACTCCTGGTCAAAGCCATCTCCCTGCCTCCTGAGGAGCTGGACTACAGGCATGAGCCACCATACCCAGCTAATTTTAAATTTTTTGTAGAGACAGTCTCATGGTGTTGCCCAAGCTGTTCTAAACCTGGTCTCAAGTGATCCTCGTGCCTCAGTCTCCTAAAGTACTGAATTAAGATGTGAGCCACTGCACCTGGCCCTTTAATCTTAAAATATAATTTTATTTAGTATAAAATTCTACTTGACAGTTACCATATTTCCTTGTTTTAAGAAACACAATAGGGAGGGTGTAGTGGTCACACCTATAATCCTAGCACTCTGAGAGGCAGAGGTGGGAGGATCGCTTGAGGTCAGGAGTTTGAGACTGGCCTGGCCTGACCAAGAGTGAGAACCCATCTCTACTAAAAATAGAAAAAGTAGTTGGCCAATAAAATAGAAACAAAATATTAGCCAGCATGTGGTGAGTGCCTGTAGTCCCAGCCTACTCGGGAGGCTGAGGCAAGGAGGATCGCTTGAAAGCCCAGGAGTCTGAGGTTGCTGTGACTAGGCTGATGCCATGGCATTCTTGCCTGGACAACGAGTGAACTCTGTCTAAGAAAAAACAAAAAACAAAAAACACAATAGTATTTTAATCACGATAGTGATTTATTCACTTTGTTAAATTTAAAAGTATGTTTCCAGCTAAAGCATTCACAGTGAAGTGGCATTAGCTTTAAGATGCACCCCAATTGCAAAGATAAGAAAATGTGAAAACTTGTGCCTCTTAAGATAAGATAAGGTATTTTTCTCAGTCCATTACAGATATCATCCCACTGTTTTGTAGCTTCTGTGTTACAGTTGAGAAGTCATTTACCAGTCTGATTGCTGTTTATTGGTTATTATCTTTTTCCATTGGCTACTTTTCAGATCTCTTTTTTTTATATTCTACAGTTTCATTACGAGTGTATAGATAAGGAATTCTTTTTATTATTTGTTTTTGCTAGCCCACTTAGATTGGTATCTTTCAACAATTCTGTTAAAATTCTCAGACATTATTTTTTCAAATATTGCCTCTTCTGCATTCTCTAAAAATTATATCCTTCTTGGACTCCACTTAGAGATATATTACACCTTCACATTTTATTCTTTGTGGCTTTAAATTCTCCTTCACATTTACTGTGTATTTTTTCCTGGATGCTGACCTCTTGACAATTTCTTCTGATTTAAATTGACTCATTCTTCAGCTGGGTCTAATCTACTTTTTAATATATCCATACAATTTTCAAATTAAAATTATTATACTTTTCATTTCTATAGTCTTACTTGGTTATTTTCCCAATAATTTTTTTTTTTTTTTATTTGAGACAGAGTCTCGCTTTGTTGCACAGGCTAGAGTGAGTGCCATGGCATCAGCCTAGCTCACAGCAACCTCAAACTCCTGGGCTCAAGCAATCCTCCTGCCTCAGCCTCCAAGTAGCTGAGACTACAGGCATTTGCCACCATGCCGGCTATTTTTTTTTTTATATATATTAGTTGGCCAATTATTTCTTCTATTTATGTAGAGACGGGTCTCGCTCTTGCTCAGGCTGTTTCGAACTCCTGACTCGAGCAATCCGCCACTCAGCCTCCCAGAGCTAGGATTACAGGCGTGAGCCACCGCGCGGCTATTTTTTTTTTTTTTTGAGACAGCGTTTCACTCTGTTGCCCAGGTAGAGTGCCGTGCCATCAGCCTAGCTCACGCAACCTCAAACTCCTGGGCTCAAGCGATCCTCCTGCCCCAGCTCCCGAGTAGCTGGGACTACAGGCATGCATTACCATGCCTGGCTAATTTTTCTATATATTTTTAGTTGGCCAATTAATTTCTTTCATTTTTTTAGTAGAGACGGGGTCTTGCTCTTGCTCAGGCTGGTTTTGAACTCCTGAGCTCAAGCGATCCTCCTGCCTCAGCCTCCCAGAGTGCTAGGATTACAGGCGTGAGGCCACCGCCGCCCACTGATATTTTTATTCTTTATGGTCTCTTGTGACTTACTCATATTTTCGAAGTTCTTTTTTATTTCTTTACACATTCATACATATTTATTTTGTATTCTCTTGTACAAGTCCTTGTTCCTAGTATCTTGGTACGTAAACAAATTCTAAAATTTGTTAACTTTAGAAAAAATATATTTTGTTCCTTTAGTACATTAAGCACCATGTGACAATATGGTGTACTTATATACTATTTAGTGATTTAGGTTAATACATTTTCTTTTTCTTTTCTTTTTTTTTTTTTTTTTTGAGACAGAGTCTCACTTTTTTGCCCAGGCTAGAGGGAGTGCCATGGTGTCAGCCTAGCTCACAACTCCTGGGCTCAAGCAATCCTGCTGCCTCAGCCTCCCAAGTAGCTGGACTACAGGCATGCGCACCATGCCCGGCTAATTTCTATGTATATTAGTTGGGCAATATTTCTTCTATTTATAGTAGAGACGGTCTCACTGTTGCTCAGGCTGGTTTCGAACTCCTGACCTTGAGCAATCCGCCCGCCTCGGCCTCCCAGAGTGCTAGGATTACAGGCGTGAGCCACCGTGCCCAGCCTAGGTTAATACATTTTCTAGGTATCATTTGACTCATACAAACTTTTTTCTTACTGAAAGTTATACTAATTACAATTTAGAATGTTGCACACTCTTTTGATAATAGGGGGAGATACTATAATATAGGTAAATATTCCTTATTTTTTATCTTCAAGATAGGTGTGATAAAATGTGATAAAACAATAAAATTGATGTTGATCTACTGAAATCAGATTTAAAAAAAAAATTTTGTGCATAGGAATTGATTTGTAACCAAATAACAATTACTGGTAATTCTTTCATCAATGACTTCTAACAGCTGAATTTTCTATAAAGTTTTAATTAGATGTGAATTAAAATTTCCCTAGACATTTTATGTATGTTTTCTCTATTCCTATACTCTCAGAAATTGTGTCTATTTAGATATGTGCATTTACTTATGACTGATGTTATAAATTGTTGTCAGGTGAGTAATAATTTTTAGAAAAATGCAAAGTATCCTTTTAGGTCAACATATTATTGTTTTCCTGGGACTGAATGTGTTTGTTTGGATAGCACCTAAAAATGAATATTTTAAAGTTATATTCTATAGTTACTATTTGCATTTGTGTGGGCAAGAACATTGTGGGCTTTGATCCATTGGATATTTGTTAATTAATTTACAATTTCTCCTCATAGGCTTGTTTTGATCCACCTCATGAAGTGGTTTCCACCAGGAACCCAGTCATATACAACAAAAGGGCAGCTGACCCAGTCCATTCTGACCTTGGTCGTTTGTTGGTGAAAAACAAGAATCTTTTAACTGAGGTATTAATATATGGATTGTCCATAAATAAGACACTATGGAAAATTATGTCCTCTGTAAAAGGGAGAGAAAAATTCTACAGTTTTCAGGGATTGGGTTATTTCAGGGTTATTCACAATAATAACTGAGTTTTGCTTTTTTCTCAATATTGAACTCTGTCATCACTGAGGAAAATTAATTTAGACCCAAATCTGTCTTTTGCCAAAGAACTCCCTTTGAAAAGATATACACAGTTAGTTGCTTTTGAGTTGACAGCCAAATTCTGGAGTGTTAGAACATTGTTTATATACTACATGCTCAAAATTTATATAATAATAATTATAAGTATTAAACATTTTAGTGGAAAAGATGAGTTCCTATTTTCAATATGCCACCAAATGGCAAATATCTACTAGTTTTATTTAATACTTATTGAAACATCTGAGTGACCTCAATGGATAAAAACAAATCATATTTTAGGAAATGCCTTGACTTCCACTCTCTGTGATGAAGAGTAGAGAGTGCTTATAGTAATTCTTTAGATGTGCCTAACTTCTCTGAGTACATCTGTTGCAAGAAATAGTCTTATAGATAACTATGGTTGGAAGCTTAAAGGCCATTGTCATTGTTAAGGGTACTATGATATGACTATTTATGTCTGTACTACCTCTTCTCATATAGTCACATTCTAAGGTGCAGTGGGGTTAGAGCTTCAGTGCATGAATTTTGGAGGGACTCAACATGGCCTGAAACAGTGCTCTTATTTCTTGGAGCCTCTTTTCTGCCCAGGACCTTATTAAAGTACTATTCTGCTATCTCATCTGTCAATAGGCTGATTCCAGGTTTCATTTAAGTAGATATAAGTATAGATGTAGATATATAGATAAGTGTACATATATTTCTCTCCATTTTATTTATGTTAATGCTTTTCATCTTTTAGCATAGAAGAGTGAATAAAGCTTAAAATAAATGAAGCTTTAAACATAAGAAATCTTATGATACCTTTGAGAGATTTTGTCTTTTCTTTCAGAAAAATGTGATGCCAATCCCTGAAAACTGTAGCAATTTAACTATGGGTAGCATTGTTCTTCTTTTCCTCTACATTATAACCTATTATTAATACTTGGAAATTTGGGATTTTTGATAATTCAGATTTGGTATAGATTAAAGATTTATATCTATGCATAATTCATTTAAAATCTTTTCTTTTCTTTTTTTTGAGACAGAGTCTCACTCTGTTGCCCTAGCTAGAGTGCCATGGCATCAGCCTAGCTCACAGCAAGCTCAAACTCCTGGGCTCAAGCAATCCTACTGCCTCAGCCTCCCAAGTAGCTGGGACTAGTATTAACATTACTACTTGACAGTTACCATATTTCCTTGTTTTAAGATCCAATAGGGAGGGTGTAGTGGCTCACACCTATAATCCTAGCACTCTGAGAGGCAGAGGTGGGAGGATCGCTTGAGGTCAGGAGTTTGAGACTGGCCTGGCCTGACCAGAGTGAAACCATCTCTTACTAAATAGAAAAAGTAGTTGGCCAACTAAAAATAGAAACAAAATATTAGCCAGGCATGGTGGTGAGTGCCTGTAGTCCCAGCTACTCGGGAGGCTGAGGCAGGAGGATCGCTTGAAAGCCCAGGAGTCTGAGGTTGCTGTGAGCTAGGCTGATGCCATGGCATTCTTGCCTGGACAACAGAGTGAGACTCTGTCTCAGAAAAAAACAAAAACAAAAAAACACAATAGTATTTTTAATCACGATAGTGATTTTATTCACTATTGTTAAATTTAAAAGTATGTTTCCAGCTAAAGCATTCACAGTGAAGTGGCATTAGCTTTAAGATGCACCCCAATTGCAAAGATAAGAAAATGTGAAAACTTGTGCCTCTTAAGATAAGATAGGATTTTCTCAGTCCATTACAGATATCATCCCACTGTTTTGTAGCTTCTGTGTTACAGTTGAGAAGTCATTTACCAGTCTGATTGCTGTTTATTGGTTATTATCTTTTTCCATTGGCTACTTTTCAGATCTCTTTTTTTTTATATCTACAGTTTCATTACGAGTGTATAGATAAGGAATTCTTTTTATTATTTGTTTGCTAATCTTTCACAATTCTGTTAAATTCTCAGACATTATTTTTCAAATATTGCCTCTTCTGCATTCTCTAAAAATTATTCCTTCTTGACTCACTTAGAGATATATTACACCTTCACATTTTATTCTTTGTGGCTTTAAATTCTCCTTCACCATTTACTGTGTATTTTTTCCTGGATGCTGACCTCTTGACAATTTCTTCTGATTTAAATTGACTCAATTCTTCAGCTGGGTCTAATCTACTTTTTAATATATCCATACAATTTTCAAATTAAAATTATTATACTTTTCATTTCTATAGTCTTACTTGGTTATTTTCCCAATAATTTTTTTTTTTTTTTATTTGAGACAGAGTCTCGCTTTGTTGCACAGGCTAGAGTGAGTGCCATGGCATCAGCCTAGCTCACAGCAACCTCAAACTCCTGGGCTCAAGCAATCCTCCTGCCTCAGCCTCCCAAGTAGCTGGACTACAGGCATTTGCACCATGCCGGCTAATTTTTTTTTGTATATATATTAGTTGGCCAATTAATTTCTTCTTTTATAGTAGAGACGGGGTCTCGCTCTTGCTCAGGCTGGTTTCGAACTCCTGACCTCGAGCAATCCGCCACCTCAGCCTCCCAGAGAGCTAGGATTACAGGCGTGAAGCCACCGCGCCCGGCTATTTTTTTTTTTTTTTTTTTGAGACAGCGTCTCACTCTGTTGCCCAGGCTAGAGTGCCGTGCCATCAGCCTAGCTCACAGCAACCTCAAACTCCTGGGCTCAAGCGATCCTCCTGCCCCAGCCTCCCGAGTAGCTGGGACTACAGGCATGCATTACCATGCCTGGCTAATTTTTCTATATATTTTTAGTTGGCCAATTAATTTCTTTCATTTTTTTAGTAGAGACGGGGTCTTGCTCTTGCTCAGGCTGGTTTTGAACTCCTGAGCTCAAGCCATCCTCCTGCCTCAGCCTCCCAGAGTGCTAGGATTACAGGCATGAGCCACCGCGCCCAGCACTGATATTTTTATTCTTTATGGTCTCTTGTGACTTACTCATATTTTCGAAGTTCTTTTTATTCTTTACACTTCATACATATTTATTTTGTATTCTCTTGTACAAGTCCTTGTTCCTAGTATCTTGGTACGTAAACAAATTCTAAAATTTGTTAACTTTAGGAAAAATATATTTTGTCCTTTAGTACATTAAGCACATGTGACAATATGGTGTACTTATATACATTTAGTGATTTAGGTTAATACATTTCTTTCTTCTTTCTCTTTTTTTTTTTTGACAGAGTCTCACTTTTTTGCCCAGGCTAGAGGGAGTGCCATGGTGTCAGCCTAGCTCACAACTCCTGGGCTCAAGCAATCCTGCTGCCTCAGCCTCCCAAGTAGCTGGGACTACAGGCATGCGCCACCATGCCCGGCTAATTTTTTCTATGTATATTAGTTGGCAATTAATTTCTTCTATTTATAGTAGAGACGGGTCTCACTGTTGCTCAGGCTGGTTCGAACTCCTGACCTTGAGCAATCCGCCCACTCGGCCTTCCAGAGTGCTAGGATTACAGGCGTGAGCCACCGTGCCCAGCCTAGGTTAATACATTTTTAGGTATCCATTGACTCATACAAACTTTTTTCTTACTGAAAGTTATACTAATTACAATTTAGAATGTTGCACACTCTTTTGATAATAGGGAGATACTATAATATAGTATATTCCTTTTTTTATCTTCAAGATAAGTGTGCTAAAATGTGATAAAACATAAAATTGATGTTGATCTACTGAAATCAGACTTAAAAAAAAATTTTGTGCATAGGAATTGATTTGTAACCAAATAACAATTACTGTAATCTTTTATCAATGACTTCTAACAGCTGAATTTTCTATAAGTTAATTAATAAAACAAATATAATATCTATAAACTCACCACCCAGCTTCATAGTACATGACCAGTAGCTTAGAAGTTTCCTCTGTGCCCCCTCCTGATTGAATCCCTTTCCTCCCACCTAAAATTCAAAATAGTAGATATTTTGAACTTTTTGTATTGCAATTATCCCTTTTCTTCACTTTCAAGTTTTATCACCCATATGTATATCCATCCCTAATCAATATTTATTGATATATTTATTGATATATATTTATTTATATTTATATGTTTAATTTATAATATATATTTATTGATATATATCAATATATTGATATACTTATTGATAATATATTCAATATATAAATATAATATTGATAATATAATCAATATATTTATTGATAATAATATCTCTTTTAAAAGTTTATATGAATGGAATTAAACTGTTTTTATTTTTTTGTGATTTGATTCTTTAGTGAGATCTGTGTTGATTTATGTATAATTATTCAATAATTTCCATAATTTTATAGTATTCCTATATGACTATACCATAAGTTATTTATCCATAGACTCTTATTTAACATATGGGGTTTTATTCAGCTTTTTTTTTTGCATTTTTGAATAATGTTGATAATCTTTGCTTTAACTAGAAAGTTTAGTCCATTTACATTTATTAATAATACTGATTATTTGGATATATTTCTTCTTTTCTTCAGTGAGATAGGGGTATCACTATGATCCATGTGCCTTAGCCTCCCAGGTAGCTGGGATTACAGGTACACACCACTGTCCCTGGCTTGGATATATTTCTATCATCATAACATGTTCGTTCTATTTGTCCCCCCAACCCCCTTTTGTTTTTTTTAAGACAGAGTCTCGATTTGTTGCCCGAGCAAGTGCCATGGCATCAGCCTAGCTTACAGCTGAACCTCAAACTCCTGGGCTCAAGAGATCCTCCTGCCTCAGCCTCCTGAATGGCCAGAACTACAAGCACCCAGCCACTGCCCCTGGCTAAATTTTCTAATTTTAGTAGAGATGGTGTTTCCCTCTAGTTCAAGCTGGTCTCCAACTCCTGAGGTCAAGGGATCCT